TAGCTCGGCACCGGATCTCGCCATGCAGCGGAGACCACCCGCCACCTCCAGAGCAAAAACATGCACTACACTTACGGAAATAATCACCTTACTAGTTGACGCGACCGGAATCACTAATCAAGTTGTGGTTGCAAAGTATCAGACAAGGTGCTCGCAAGGCTTCAATCGCTGAAGGATATGTGAACGAAAATATTTTTTTGCTAATTTCCCACTGTCTGTGGTTCTTGCTCACGGATGATCCTTTCACTATTTTTTCTTCTCGAGTAAAACTCTAATTCGCATTCTGTCACAGTTGTGGCCCTGATACGACGTAGCAAGGAGCTAACGCGATCTTCGACCTTCTCCAGAAACGACCATCCCCTCCCCTCACCACAGGTTTGTGGATGCCATGGCATTGGTTCGTGCTTCCGAATATGCCCTTCACATCCTAGGACTTCTTTCCCGAAGTAAAGCTCCACTTCGAATTCTCGCTGTCCGCTGATACGTACAAGTCGTAATCATTTTTCAGTTATTTTATTTTATTTTATTTGGTATATATTTGTTAAACAAAAGACTCTTCTAGAATTTTCATTCTGAAGAACTTGCCTCTGAAAGCGGTGATTCATCTTCGGTAGGAAACCTAATGGTTTTTGAGTTATAAACTAACACAATAAATGTGCTTGCCGTCACGTATAATGTTTTGTGTGGCTTTCTTTAAACGGATGTGGAGTAGATCTGAACTCATTCCCGACAGCCAGAGGAAGTGAAAGAGTTGTTTCCTTGTCTGATATTTCAACTTCATATTACTACTTCTCAGGCACTGTTAACCCTGATCGTAGATTGAAATTTTTCAGAAAAAAGTTTACACTGCCGGACAGAACAACCGAGGCGGGTAGGACGTCTACAGTGCCAATCTGTAAGGTCAAAGGGTTCGAATTTCCTCGTGATCATAACTGTCCCTTGTCTTCGGCTGTAGTGTCAACAAGTGTCTTCGGTGGGCCAACCTCTCAGTCGAAGAGCACTTTGCTCTGTTAACTAATAAAATAAAATGTACTTGCAGTCAACAATTAATCGTAGTATTTATTTTTTCAGCCAGTGGCCTCAAAATACCAGGGTTGCGTTTCTCAACGATCTAATTGGAATAGACTGTTCCAGTCATGAAATTAACAGCAATAATTATTGATAATACCCCTGGTCAGGTTGATAACTTCTAATAATTAGAGAAAAGGTGTTGTCAGGTATCGATGTTTTGATACCTGGCAACACCTTTTCTCACAAACGAAATAACCCAGTAGCATTTTGCATTTAACAATGCAACTGGGACGCCTCAATCAAGGCGGAGTAACTAAATATAACTTTTTCTAATTTTTCTAATCACTTTTCTATATTGACTAAACAAAGGCTACCATACAACATAGGAAGCGACGTGCATTAGAAGACGCAAATTTCATTAATTCAGGTTACTTAATATTTGGTACATTCGAAAACAAATTTAATTGATAGATTAGTTTTTGATAGATAGACCGCCTCAGCCAGAACAAGCTCTAACAGTAAGCTCCCGGCATGTGTGGCAGTGTAGTGCGTTGAAGTCCAAGGGTGTGTAAGCAACCTCGGCCAGTGGTCAGTGGTCATCGTCCTCCCGCACCCTTCTCCCTGAGCT